CTCCTCCTCCTCCTCCTCTCCTCTCTCCTCCTCTCCTCCCTCCTCCTCCTCCTCCTCCTCCTCCTCCTCCTCCTCCTCCTCCTCCTCCTCCTTCTCTCTTCCGCCCCCTCCTCCCCTCTCCTCCTCCTCCTCCTCCTCCTCCTGCCTCTGATCTCCAGGAGACAGTCGCGTTGGACATCCACTCCCCTGCGATGGCGCCTTATTCCCCGAGAGTTTTCGGCAGCTCAGCGGTGCGTGCCAGACGAGTAAAAGCCTCGGGGCCTCGCTGATGTGCGGCCGTCATGCTCGTCGCAGTCTTTCTCGCCGCCGCCACGTTTTTTGTTCAGTATGGGTGAGGTTCGTCGTGCTGTCCAGGAAAAACTGAGCAAGCAGGGTCTCCAGGCTAATTCGAGAGCGATCGGTGGGAACGCCTTCGGGCTTCGCTCGAGGGCGGATTCTGTCCCGCTGTTGAAATTCACCTGTTGCCCGAAGAACCTTCAGGTCATTCATATGTTCCAGGTTGATGCAGGGATTCGCGCGCTTGGACCTGAGCTAGCTTTACAGATATTGAAGGATGCGTTTGGTACGCTTCCTGCGCGTCCTTTTTGAGGCTGATCCTGATGGGCTAGGAAACGCTGGGTCTTCTGTTCCTCCTGTCCAGGGCTAAGTTTTGTTGAGGCATGCCGTGGGCTGTGAATAGTTTTGCCAGCAGCTCAGACTCCGATTCGGGTGGGTCCAGCGTGATTCCTCTCGATGTCGAGGGCGCGCGAGTTGAAATGTCTCTCCCTTTCTTTCCTTCCGCTTCCAGCCTTTCTGTTTGCTTAGACATGGACTTATCTAAGGTTTCTTTGCTGCCGTCACCACTTCCTTGCTGCGTGCTTCTTCGCGAACTGAGTACGCCTCTAAGATTGCCAGTGCAATTCTTCATGCTTCGAATAAAAGTAACAAGGAGATTAACCTCCTCCTCCTCCTCCTCCTCCTCCCCCTCCTTCCCCTCCTCCTCCTCCTCCCTCCTCCTCCTTCTCCTCCTCCTCCTACCCCTCCTCCCCTCCTCGCCCCGCGCCTCGTGGACACACTGGGCCCCAGCGTCTAGAGAGGCCCGGTGTGGCCTGGCGAGCGGCCCCGCGCGTGTTCGCGCGCGCTCTCGCGCGCGAGCTCGTCGCGGATCGGCGAAAAGTCCCTGCTCCTCCCCATTCGATCCTGCTGCTGCTGTTCCTTCCTTCCCTCCTTCGTCTGGGCCCGCAGGCAGTGAGATCGAAGAGAGGGGGTGAGAAGAGGAGGAGGAAGAAGGAGGAGGAGGAGGAGGACGAGGAGGAGGAGGACGAGGAGGAGGAGGACGAGGAGGAAGAGGATGAGGAGGAGCAGAAGGATGATCATGATGATGAGGAGGAATAACAATAACCCAAAGAAACCGATTAATCATAATAAGAAGACGTAGACGACTAATAACAATACCAAGGCGAAGGGTATGAATACTAAGTGATACTATCATGGATATTACGGAGAAAATAATATGACTAAGAAACGACATGCGAATCCGAATAATTGCACTAATCGCAAAAAGCATACTACGACACATTCTATGCAACATAGGCATACTACGATATGTGACCAGTAATAACAACATCATTGATACGACGAGTACATCTAAGCAAACGAATACTACTATGAACACTAATATCACTCTGATGATAAGCATAACCATGCGCTGATCCATGCGCTGACTCTAATACAATACGAAATATGACAGGTGATACTACCACTCATACTAGTAATAAGACCAGTAATGATAGTCAGTCTAGTGATAGTAATGATACTAATACTACCAGCCAGCGTTGACGTCTCAAACCAAGTAAGCATATTAATCACGCGTGCTTGGAACCCGCAACTCAGAAAACAAGCCACCGTGCAAGCAATCCCGCAAATAAGCAAGCGCGCAAGCGAGCAAGCGGGCAAGCAAACAAGCAAGCAGGCATAGGCATAGGCACAGGCATCGACATCGGCATGGACGTAGGCATAGGAGTCAGGGGGAGGCATAGGCACAGGCATTGGCATAAGCATAGGCTTAGGCATAGGCATAGGCATAGGCATAGGCGTAGGCGTAGGCATAGGCATAGGCATAGGCATAGGCATAGGCATAGGCATAGGCATTAGGGGGGCATAGGAACTAGGGGGGGGGGGTACGAACCACTCACTCGGGTTTGAGCTAGGACTCCTATAGGGCAAACCTATCAGGATAATCGCGATATTGGCACTAGTAGTGGACTGCTAATTTTAACGCTAATAGCGATGTGCTGGCGAGTACTCATGATATTACTACACTAATAATTGTGATAAGCATAACCGCAATGGTGATACTTCTATCAAGCGGAAGATAGTATTACTAGTAAGGAAGAGCAGTGTTCATATTGATCAGACCGATAGGAAGAATTTATCACAATACAATTAATACTACGACTAAGCAGAAGAATCTCCCCAAGGGTTTTCCCAACATGACCAGGTCAGAGCCGCAGGAGGATTTCAGAGAGTGGCCTCTGCCTGAGCTCAAGTGGACGCCCCCCCCTCCCCAGGCCAACAGGACCCCGTCGAGCGGGCAGCACAGGCCAGGGGGGGGGGGGGGGAGGGAAACGCGCCGACTTGGCAACTCGGCCGCCGTGTCTGAGTGGGCGGCCGTGCCTGACACGCGAGCGGCCTCGAAGCTTTGGTGCCTCGCCAATGAAAAGAGATGGGAAGGGAGCGGGAGCTAACCCAGGCTCCCATCTTTGACGGGGGTTGCCCGACTTGACACTGACACTGTTCCGCAGGGCCTCTGAGATGCCCCCTCCCTACGAGAGTCCGGCACCCGCACAACGAACACACCCAGTAGGGCTCGTAACAGGCGAGGGTGTGGGACGGGTTGCCGAGCATCGTACCCGCCGCCAACTGCTGCTGCTGGGGCTGCTTTCTGGGGGGGCCTTGGCACTCGGAGGTCAACCGATCATTCAACTGCTTCTTATTCGAGAAATTACTGGCTGAGTTTTGACAGCACTTACAGGACTACCACGTTTTCAAAGCAATGAGTTGGTGGCTCGAAACAGCTTGGGCCTGGGCGAAGGCATAGGGCCGAGATCTCCGGTGGGCTCTTCTGGCCTGCCTCACCGTGGGTCCCAAAGCTTCAGTATCAAACGCGTTCAAAGTAGCTCTCAACATCCTACTCCGAATCTTACATCCTGTGGCGACGGCCCGTGCATAACAAGTCAATCTGGCTTCAGGGATGGCATGTTCACTCGCTGCTTTCCCTGCTAACTCATCTGCAACAGAATTCCCAAACCAAGCTGCAGAACACGCGCCTCTGGCCTGGGCCTCCTCCCAGGTTCAGTGGCTGTGCATAAAGAAGACGTGGACGTCGGACTCCCCGCGCTCGGCGATGGCCAGCGCGATCTGCTCCCAGAGGTCTCCGAGCACACTCCATCCTCCAGGCTGGCGGTGACGGCCACGTCGCCAGCCCTTGTAGAGTATTTCTGAATCGGTCCAGAGGTGCATCGAACCCTGCGTGTGGCGCAAGGCGGACAGCAGGGACGCGATCTCGCCATGGTTGTTCGTTTGCCGTGGGCCCGCGATCGGTCCTTCGGCGCCTCCTCGGATCGATGGCTCGTCGGGTTGCGTGGTGTCCAGCCGGTTCTTTCCGAGCGAATTTATCACACATGCGCGAACAAGGCTGGGCCTCCGTGAGCGTGCCTTGCGCAATCGTGTTTTTTTCAACTCCGGTCTGCAGCGCAGGTAGATCCTCGATGGTGATGGTGTTGGTGGTGATGATGCTGATGTTGATGATGGTGATGATGCTGGCGATGGTGATGGTGATGGTGCTGATGATGTTGGTGATCATGATGCGGATGATGGTGATGATGATGAGGAGGCGGAGAAGGAGGAGGAGGAGGAGGAGGAGGAGGAGGAGGAGGAGGAGGGTGCGGAGTGCCCTCTCCGTGTATCACAGAGACACGCCGTGCACCTCGGCGGCGCCTCGCGTGTCGGCCACCTGGCAACCGCGGCGGCGGAGATCTCGCGTCGTCTGCTGGGGCAACAGGTCCCGAGAAGAGGCTACGGAGGCACGCTCGTGCTGGATGTGGTCCCCTTTCTGGGTATGTGCAGGATGATGCTAACGATGGCGGTGCTGATGCTGATGCTGCTGCGGATGCGGGTGTTGATGCTGATGCTGATGATGGGGATGCCGATGGTGATGATGATGGTGATAAGGATGAGGATGAATATGAGGATGCAGATGAGGATGATGATGACGATGGTGATGATGCTGATGATGATGATGATGATGATGATGATGATGATGATGATGATGATGCGGCTGCTGATGATGTTGATGGTAATGCTGATGCTGATGCTGCTGCTGCTCATGATGATGATGATGGTGATGCTGGTGATGATGATGATGATGATGACGCTGGTGCTGATGCTGATGCTGATGATGGTGGTGATGGTGATGGTGATGATGATGGTGGTGATGATGATGGTGGTGATGATGATGATGGTGGTGATGATGATGAAGGTGGTGATGATGATGGTGGTGGTGATACTGATGATTTGGATGAATATGATTTTGATGATGCTGCTGCTCATGATGATGACGAGGAGGAGGAGGAGGACGATCATGGTGATGGTCCTGATCTGACGATGATGCTGCTGATGACGATGACACGGCCGACGATGACACTGATCGTTTTGCTGCTGCTGGTCATGATAATGGTCGACCGCGGCGGCGATGAGTATGCTGCCTGTGATGCTGAGCATTATGATGTTGGTGATGATGTGGTGCTGGTGATGGTGCTGGTGATGGTTATGATATACAAACGGACGAGGATCGACCATTGCGATGTTGATGCTTGTGATTCTATGTGTGAATGTGTTGGTGATGGTGGAGGCTGTGACTATGATGCCGGTGATGATGGTGGTCAGGAAGAGCTCTTCTCCTCTCTTCAAGCAATGGCCTCCCCCCTTCTCCCTCACCATCCGTCAGCCCTCCGTCCCCTCTCCACGCCTCCGCCTCCCCCTGCTCCCCCTCGCGATCCCGACGCCGCCGTCCCCGCCGCCGTCGTCGCCCGTCGTCGCCCCGAAGCGCCTGCGGCCGCCGCGCCCCCGCCACTGGCCCGCAACAGCGGCGGGCGCGCCCGGCCCGCCCCTCCTGCCAGCGCTCCTCCTGCCGGGGGGGGGGAGGACCCCGCGGCGCCGCCCCGCGCCCGGGCTCCCGCCGCGTCTGCGCGCTCGCCTCGTCGTCGGCGCAGGCGTCGTCGTCGTCGGCGTCGGCGTCGTCGGCGTCGTCGGCGTCGTCGGCGTCGGCGTCGGCGGCGTCGTCGGCGTCGTGGGCGCCGGCGTCGGCGGCGTCGGCGCCGGCGGCGTCGGCGGCGTCGGCGCCGTCGTCGCTGTCGTCGGCGTCGTGCTCGTCGACGCCCGGGAGGTTCTGGGGGTCGTCGTCGGTCTCCTCGGAGCTCGGAGGTTGCCCCAGGTGCTCGGGTGGTCTCGCAGGTTCTCAAGGTGAGGGGGAGGGGCATGATGAGGGGATGAGGGGTCAGGGCTGAGGGCCTTGTATTTTTGGTCGTCCAACTTGGGAGACACTGCAACTCGACATAGCGAATTGTCACGCAGGCAGTTGGCAGCAGTTGCTGCTTCTAAAAGCCTTCTCCCTTCCCCCCGTTCCATCTTTTCTCCGCGTAGACAACTTCTCCCTGCCGCACCCCAGACGTATCGGTAGGGCGGGCCAGGCGTTTCGCATGGGACGTCGCCATTTATCGAAGAAGCCTACGGCGAATCACCGCCGACCTCTGCCTTTCAGGCTACGCCTCTGTGGCCAGACGTTTAGGCCAAGTTTGGCCGCGCTATCTACTGGCCTTTGGCCTATCTCGCTACCGTGCTTGGGTTGTGGGTATGAAGCCTTTGGGATGTTCGTTGGGATTTTGTGGGTGGCTTTTCGGGGGCATCTTGGAGGCGGTTTGGACGCCTCTTGGGGACCGTATGGGGGCCTCTTGAGGGCCTCTTGGTGCCTCTTGGCGCCCTCTGGGGGGCCTTTTGGGGCCTCCTGGGCGCCTCTTGGGGCCTCCTGGGGGTCTCCTGGGGCGGAAGGTTCGGATTCTCTCGGTCCGTGTTCCCTCTTTTGGGCTCCTTTTGGGGCCGTCTTGGGGCCGTCTCGGGCCGTTTGGGGAGCCTCTTGGGCCTGTCTTGGGGCCCTCTTGGGCCGGGTTGGGGCCCTCTTTGAGGTCTCCTGGGCCGTCTTGGGGCGGTCTTTGGGGGCCTCTTGGGTCGTCTGGGAGCGGCGGTAAGCCGAAAAGGAGACAACGCCCAAATCCTTCAACAATCTACAGGAAATCGCCTCTAGGCGCCCTCTTGAGAGGCCTCTTGGGGGCCTCGTTGGGCGTCTTGGAGGCCTCTGGTGCCGTCTGGGGGCCAGCCTGAGCGTCGTGGTGCGATCGTTCGGCGACTCGGGGCCTGCTTCAACCGTGTTGAGGGCTTCTTGGAGCCTTCTTGGGCCCGTTTTGGGGCCCTCGTTGGGCCAGAAGGAGTCGCGCGAGAAGGCGCCGGGAACGCCATGGGGGCACGCGACAAGGCCCGAGAGATTTCGGAGTTCTGGGTCCGGGCCCCTTAAGACTCCCCAGGAATGACCCAGGAAGGAGGAGTGAGGCTTACAGTGAGCGGCCTGAATAAGGAGCACTTACTAGTCAAAAGGGGCTCGGTCGTTCCTTAGGTTCGCATGGTTTGTGTATCGTTCCCTATGCGTTATTCCTTGGGAACAGGGGGCTTTGTTCCTTATTCATCGTTCCTTAGGTCAGGCCGATGACTGTAAGTGGATTGGGCCCATGGCCCGAGGACACGCCCACTCCGCGCTCTGCGGTGCGGTGGCGGACTGGGCCATGCGTTTCCCCAGTCGCCGTGGACGCTCTTCGGGGAGCACGTGGGGGAGGAAGAGGAGGACGGGGAGAGGGAGGCAGATGGAGGACGAGGAGAAGGATGAGGTGACCTCTTGGGAGCTTCTTGGGTCACTCTTGGGGCCTTCTGGGAGCTTCCCTGGGGCCTCTTGGAGGCCGTTGGGGGCCTCTTTGACCGTCTGAGGGCGTTCTTGGCCCGTCTGACGTCGTCGGGAGCCGTCTAGTGGCATGCTCCAGGGCCGTCTTTGAGGCCATCTTGGGCGTCTTAAAAAGGCCTCCTGTGCCGTCTTGGAGGCCGTTCTGAGGCCATCTTGGAAGCCTCTTAGGCGATCTTTCGGCGATCTTTGGGGGCGCTTGGGCCGTCTCGGGCCGTCGGACGGCCGAAAAGAAGCAAATGTCAAACTCCTTCAACAACGCATGGACATTTGGCCTCTTCTGGCCTTCCTGAAGGCCCTCTTGGGGGCCTCCTGGGCCGTCTTGGGCCAGCTTCGAGCCAACTTCGGCCATCTTGGTTGGTTCTTGGCACGTCTGACGCCGTCGGGAGCTCTCTTGGGGGCCTTTCTGGGCCGACTTGGGGCCCTCTTGGGGCGCTTCGGAGCCGTCTTGGAGGCCATCTTGGGCGTGTTGGATGCCTCTTGAGCAGTTTTGGGGCCCTCTTGGTGCCGTCTTGGAGGCCACTTGGACCGTCATGGGGCCCTCTTGGGGCTTCTTGGGCGATCTTGGGGGCCTTTTGGGCCGTCTTGAGCCGTCGGAATGCCGAGAAGAAGCAAATGCCAAATCCTTCAAACACCTAATGATTTTGGCCTCTTCGGGCCCTCCTGGAGGACCTCTCGGAGGCCTCTTGGGCCGTCTTGGAGGCCTCTTGGGCCGTCTGGGGCCATGTTGAGGCTATCTTAGGCCTTGTTGAGTGCATCTTGGCTCGTCTTGGAGGCATCTTGGAGCCATCTTCACCGTCTTGGAAGCAGTATTGGCCGTCTTGGATGCATCTTGGAGACCATCTTGGGCAGTCTTGGAGCCGTCTGGAGCAGGAAAAACCTTTGCAACCGGGTTTTCGGCAATCTCCCGGGACCCCGGCGGGACGGGCCGAAGCCCCAGGGGGAGTTCTTTTGGAAAAAGAACCAAAACCAAAACCGATAGGGTTCAGCACGCCAGGCACCCCTGCGATGAATCGACAGGGGGCGGCGGATCGAAGACGCCTACGGCGAATCACCGCCGCCCCCTGCCTTTCTGGAAGCGCCTATGTGGCCGAACGTTGAGACCAGACCTGCCAAGCTATCGGACCATGTGTTCCCCGAATCGGTTTGGAAAGCCTTCGGGGAACACGTGGGCATCTTGAAGGTTATCTTGGCCGTCTGGAGGCCATTTGACTCTTTCTGGCCTTCTTGGAGGACGTCTTGGAGGGCTCTTGGACCGTCTTGGAGGCCATCTTGAGCGTCTTGGAGACCTCTTGGGCCGTCTTGGGGGCCTCTTGGGGCCGTGTCTTGGGCCTCTTGAGCGATCTTTGGGGACACTTGGGCCGTCTTGCGCCATCAGAAGGCCGAGACGAAGCAAATTCCAAAATCCTTCAAACACCTAAGGACAATCAATGCTTTTGGCCTCTTCGGGCCCTCCTGGAGGACCTCTTGCAGCCCGCTTGGGCCGTATTGGAGGCCTCTGGGGGGCCTCTTGGGCCGTCTTGGGCCGTCTTGGACTCTCTTGGAGGCCGTCTTGGACCATCTTGGGCGGATTTGGAGGCCATCTTGGGCCATCTTCGCTATTTTTTGAGGATGTCCCGAGCGAAACGGCCGTTTTTGGGAGGATGTGTTGTGTACTATCGCGATTTGTTGAGGATGTCCCGAGCGACACGGCCGTTTTTGGGAGGATTTTTTGTGCACGTTGCGATTTTTTGAGGATGTCCCGAGCGAACGGCACGGTGGCGGGACGGGCCGAAACCCACTGGGAGAGTTTTTTTGGACAAAAAACCAAAACCCAAACCGAAAGGATCTAGCACGCCAGGCACCCCCGCGATGAATCGACAGGGGGCGGTGGATCGAAGACGCCTACGGCGAATCACCGCCGCCCCCTGCCTTTGTGGAAGCGCCTATGTGGCCGAACGTTGAGGCCAGACCTGCCAAGCCATCGGACCATGTGTTCCCCGAATCGGTTTGGAAAGCCTTCGGGGAACACATGGGCGTCTTGATGGTCATCGTCGCCGTCTTGGAGGCCTCTTGGGGGATCTTTCGGCGATCTTTGGGGGCTCTTGGGCCGTCTCGGGCCGTCGGAAGGCCGAAAAAAGGGAAATGCCCAAATCCATCAAAAACCTGTGGAAAATCAGTGGTTTTGGCATCTTTTGGCCTTCCTGGAGGCCCTCTTGGGGGCCTCCTGGGCCCTTTTGGGCCAGCTTCGAGCCAACTTCGGCCATCTTGGTGGGTTCCTGGCACGTCTGACGCCGTCGGGAGCCGTTTTGGGGGCCTTTCTGGGCCAACGGGGGACCCTCTTGGGGCGCTCCAGGGCCGTCTTGGAGGCCATCTTGGGCGTCTTGGAGGCCATCTTGGGCGTGTTGGAGGCCTCTTGGGCCCTCTTGGGGCCCTCTAGGGGCCATCTTGGAGGCCACTTGGGCCATCATGGGGCTCTCTTGGGGGCCTCTTGGGCGATCTTGGGGGCTTCTTGGGCCGTCTCGAGCCGTCGGAGAGCCGAAAAGGCGCAAATGCCAGAATCCTTCAAAAACCAAGGAAAAATCAATGATTTTGGCCTCTTCGGACTCTCCTGGAGGACCTCTTGGAGGCCTCTTGGGCCGTCTGGGAGGCCTCTGGGGGGCCTCTTGGGCCGTCTTGGGCCGTCTTGGACTCTCTTGGGCCGTTTTGGAGGCCGTCTTGGACCATCTCGGGCGGACTTGGAGGCCATCTTGGGCCATCTTCGCGATTTTTTGAGGATGTCCCGAGCGAAACGGCCGTTCTTGGAGGATTTTTTGCGGTCGTTGAGCACGTTTGGGAAAATTCCGGGTGGCCGGCGGGTTCTGCCGGAGCCCACTGGGGAGTTCTTTTGGAAAAAGAACCAAAACCAAAACCTGACAGCTCATCCAGCACGCCGTGCACCCCTGCAAGCAGGGGGCGGCGGATCCTAGTGGCCTTCGGCCCATCCCGCCACCGTGCATGGGTTGTGGGTCTGAGGCCTCTTGTATGTCTGTTGAGGCGTCGTGGGGGGCCTCTTGGAGGCGGTTTGAGCGCCTCTTGGGGGCCTCTTGGGGCCTCTTTCGGTATTTGGGCCTCTTGGAGGCATCTTGGGCGCGTCTTGGGCGCCTCTGGGGGCATCGTTGGGCCTCTTGGCGGCCTCTTGGGGCCTCCTGGGGGCTTCTCGTGGCACAGGTCTAGAATTGTCGGTTCCTGGTCCTCTGCTTGGGCCCTCTTGGGGCCGTCTTGGGGCTCTCTTGGGCTGTCCTGAGTGCTTCTTGGCCCATCTTGGAGCCCTCTTGGGCCATCTTGGGGCCCTCTTGAAGGCCTCTTGGGCTGTCTTGGGACGGTCTTGTGAGCCTCTTGAGCCGCCTTGGAGCGTCGGTAAGCCGAACGTGTGAGAAGGCCAACATCCTGAAATAACCTTCGTAACATGTACGATTTTGGCCTCTTGGGGCTCTCTCGGGAGGCCTCCTGGAGCGCTCTTGGGGCCCTCTTGGGCTGTCTTGGAACCATCTTCTTGCGCCTTGGAGTACTCTTGACCTCGGCAATGCGCATACGGTGTAATTTGCGAGGGTTCATGGCCTCGGGGACGCGGCCATTGCGTAGTATAAGAGGGATTACGTATTTGTACGTGTCCTACGCCCCCCAGGAATTCAGAGCACGCGATCTGTGGATGGTAGTAACGGGGCGGTTTGGGGCTCCCCCCCATTCTTGCAGATTTCAACACTTTCCAGTAGGAAGCAGAATCAGAAAGCAGGACCGTAACATTGGAGACTTGAAACTGCAACTGGTGCAGGGAGCAGCGCACTTCGGCCTACAGCCTGGTGGCCCCGCAAGGGGGCCGGCGGATGTGGTATGGCAATTTCTCAGAGCCCCGAATCATCAGGGGTAACTCGGGTCAGGGATAACTCGGGTTCGTTGTTCGGGATTCCGAACCCGAGTTACCCCGGACCCGAGTTACCCCGGATAACTCGGGCGTCCAGAGCCCCACATCATCAGGGGTAACTCGGGTCAGGGATAACTCGGGTTCCTTTTTCGGGAATCCAAACCCGAGTTACCCCGGACCCGAGTTACCCCGGATAACTCGGGCGCCCAAATTTCAAAGGAGGATCGCGGGTCGTGTTCAACGTGTGGCTCTTGCCTTCGTGCCGCGGACGGAGGGCGGGTGGTTCTCCTCCTGGCTCTCTCGCTTCGGCACCGCGGCTCTTCCTCCCTCCCCCCCCTCCCCCCCCTCCCCCCCCTCCCCCTCCCCCCCTCCCTCCCCCCACTTCATCCTTCCCCCTCCCTCCCCCTCCCTCCCCTCCCCTCCCCCTCCCTCCCCCTTCCCCCTCCCTCCCCCTCCCTCCCCCTCCCTCCCCCTCCCTCCCCCCCCTCCGGCCCCCCCCCCTCCTCCCCTGCCCCCCCCCTCCCCCCTGGGGCGCCCGCGCGCCCCCCCCCCCCGCCCCGCGCCAGGACCCTGTGGATCCAGCCCCTCCCGCTGCGCCTCTGCACGCACCCTTGCTTCTACATGACGCCGCACGCCCGCCACCGCCCCCAGGCCCGGCGCCGCCCGCGCGCGGCCCGGCCGCGCCGGGCCGGGCCCCGCGCTCGGCCCGAGCATTTGTTTCGGGGGAGCGTAAGACCCGGGTTTGTTCGATGCTCGTTTCGGGGACCTTCCTGGAGCCCACCTAACGGATCGGTTCGACCCCAGTTCGACTCAAAAGTTCGACTCGAGTTCGACTCAAGTTCGACTCAAGTTCGACTCAGGTACGACTCAGGGTCGACCCATCTCGACTGACGTTCGACGCAGCTTCGACGCACGAGTGGAGCGAGTGGCTCCAGGAAGGTCCCCAGAACGAGCATCCAAGTTTTGCCAGGACTCGGGTTCGCCATCGTTTTCTGACGCCCGCGCCTCGGATTTTTTGACGAGGAGGAGCTTCGTGGGATGTCTGCAGCGGGAGGCCTCGTCAGAATGCAGGCTCGGCCTCGTCATTTGTTTGACGACATCGTCGGGGATTCCCGAGTCCCTTGTGCCCAGGTCTTACGCCCCCCTGAACTGTCTCTGGGCGGAGGGCACGGGGAGAGGTCTGAGGGGTGCCGGTCCGCACCGGCCTCGAACTTATCCCCATCCCCAAGACTGACACGCCCAAAGGCGATGACAAAATCTCAGGGAGGCGCCCACGAAACCCGGGGAATCCCCGAGATTGGCATCGTGATGAGGCGATGCCCAGCATAGGGATAGGGATATGCTCCAGGCTGGTAAGTTTCGATGGGTCCTCGAGGCTCGGGTCTGCACAAGGTGAGTCACAGGACGGGGCTACTGTCGAGGTGCAGAAGCCCATGTGGATTTCACCCTGAGTCCTCCGCGCTAAGAAAATGCCGGACGTGTGCAGCAGTTTTTCTCGGCGAGGGGACCCTCGAGGATCCTCCTCGACCCTCTCGCGCAGTAAAGAAGCCACGCGCGAGAGCGAACAAAACTGCACGGGGAGCGGGGGCGTCCGAGCGATGGCCCGCTCACGCCCTGGCTCGTTTGCTCCCTCGGCCCTCCCTCTGCCGCCCCGTCCGGTGTCCCTCGCTCGTCCTGCACCGAGCGCGCTCCACTGCTCTCCAAGTGCCCACTCGCAAACGTCCGAAGATCACATGTTCTTCTTCCGACGCGATATGGATCGTACATCCCCCACGGCGGATCCAGGCCATTCGCGAGTAGTTAGCTTTGCGAGCAGTGAAGCGCGCTTGTCTAGTCCTCTCTCCCTCGTCGTCGTCCGTCGTCCTCGGCCTTCGCCGCCCGTCGTCCTCCCCGTGCTCCCGCAGCCCGTCTCCTCCTCCGCCTCCTGTGCCTCGTGCTCGTCTCCCCCGTCCCTCCCCGCTCCGCACCTGCTCCCGCTCCATGCTCCTCCTGCTCCTGCTCCGCCTCCTCCGCCTCCCCCGCCTCGCGTTCCTCCTCAGGCTCCGCTCCTCCTCCCGCTCTCTCTCTCTCTCTCTCGCGTTTTCTCCTGTCGTGCTCGTCCTCATACTTGCCTCCTCCACCTCAACGGGTCCATCATCCTGCCCCCAGGCACTTCCAAGCCCGCCGAGGCTCAGACCCAGAAGAAGGGAGTTTGGAGAGCCTCCCTCCTTGCTCTTGTCTCTTCCTCACTTCTCTGTCCTCCATTCTTGCGCCTCTTCCCTGCTCGGCCTCGTCATCACTTCTCGTCTCTGCCCTGTTGCTCGGCCCTCCTCCTCCGAATTCCATCCTTCTGCCATGTCGTCCTCTGCCTGCTCGTCCCACCATCTCGCTTTTGCCTGCCGATCTCTGCTCCGTCTGTCTCTGCGAGCGCAGTTCGGGCTGTGCCCCCGACGTGTGCCCAATGATTCCTCAGGTAGGGCCTGAACATAGTGGCTCGTGCCTGTTGTTCGCTGAGCTGGTCCTTTCCGTTGCCAAAGATCGGCCGCTCTCGCGCCGGTGGCCGATGTTGCTCCGTCGTCGTCGTCGTCGTCGTCGTCGTCGTCGTCGTCGTCGTCGTCGTCGTCGTCGTCGTCGTCGTCGTCGTCGTCGGCGGCGCCCTGTGGTGCCCGGGGGGCTGCAGTCGGCCATGTCTGCGCGCTGGTGCCCAAGGCGGTTGTGCCGCGCCCGCCGTGGGAGAGGGGGAGAGAGGGGGAGCGGGGTGGGTGCGCGCGCGGCTTCCGGAGTGCTGTGGGAGGAGGAGGAGGAGGAGTAGGAGGGGGAGGAGGAATAATCATAGGAATAAACGTACTACGAATAATAATACTCATAATAACAACAATAGTAATACTAATAATAAGAAGAAGAGGCGGAGGAGGAGGAGGAGGAGGAGGAGGGAGGAGGAGAGGAGGAGGAGGAGGAGAAAAGAGGAGGACGAGAGAGGGAGGAGAGGGGAGGAGGGAGGAGGGAGGAGGAGAGGAGGAGAGGAGGAGGAGGGAGGGGAGGTGGGAGGAGGAGGGAGGAGGGAGGAGGGAGGAGGGGAGGAGGAGGGAGGAGGAGGGGAGGGAGGAGGAGGGAGGAGAGAGGAGGAGGGGAGGAGGGAGGGAGGAGGAGGAGGGAGGAGGGAGGAGGGAGGAGGGAGGAGGGAGGAGGGAGGAGGGAGGGAGGAGGAGGACGACGAGGACGAGGAGGAGGAGGACGATGATGCCGTGCCCGAGCACGGCCGTCCTCCCCCTCCACCAGACGGGGCTGGGATACCCCGCTGTCTCCAGTGAAGCCCCGCCGCCTTTAATCAGGGGCATCGATAAAGGGGGGATGGACATAGGGGGGGATGCATCGACCCCCAATCGCCCATTGATCGCCGATAGAGGCCCGACAGCCCCAACCTGCCCATGAAGGTGCGGATTCATTATCGGGGGCCTATTGCCGATCTATCGGCGATGCATCGCCGATTCCAGGTCGATGCATCCCCCCTATGCCAGTTCCCCTTCTCGTTGCCCCTCATCTGAGAAGGCCTTCTCTTCCTCAATTTCCCCCCTCGCTCACCGCCGTCACGATGCACCCCTCGGCGCCCTGCGCCGTCGCAGGTGCAACTCGTTCTCGTCGCGTCGTCGCGGTCACTCATCGGGAGCAGGTCGGCCGGGCTTTGGGCGTGGATAAATCCGCTCCAGAGCTCTAGGCCTCCTAGATGGTGTCCGAGTAGATGCGGTCGGAGGATCGCGCCGTATAGTCGATGCATCGCCGATGCGGCTCGATGCGGAGCCCGATCTTCTCCACGCTGGCGTCGCCGATGCATCGCCGATGCATCGCCGATGTATCGGCGATCGACGATGCGTCGTGATCCTCCGATCCCATCTGCTCCGAACCCATCTAGGAGGCCTCCAGAGCGTCTCGGAACGCTCCCAGAGTGTTCCGGAGCGCTCTCGGAGTGTTCCGCAGCGCTGCGGGGAGACCGCGGCGCCCGAGGCAGCTTGCACAGCCGCCGGATCTCAGAGATTCTGATTCTCGATCTTCCCTCCCTATGGTTTTTCCTCGTCCCTATGGTTTGTCCCTTGATTTTTCCTCCCTATAGTTTGTCCTCGTCCTGGCTTCGTCTCAGTCCTCTCCCTCAGCGCCCGCCTCGCCGTCCTCGAGCTCTGCGGAGGACTCCCGCCCCCGGCCGCCACGGCGGCGACGGGGGCCATCCCGCGCAGAGGTGTTTGTTCTCCTTCTTTTTTTTTTTTCTTCGTCTTCTTCTTTCTCCTCCTCCTCCTCCTCCTCCTCCTCCTCCTTTCGGGTGGATCAGACACGAAGGACTGAGCTTGCTGTGTCGTGGACAACCGCAGCGCGAGGCCCCAAATAAAAAGATAATAACGCCTGGCTGGCGCCCCTCGTCCTTCCTCCTCCCACCTCCTCCTCACGCCCCTCCTCGCCTCCCTCCTCCTCCTCCTCCTCCTCCTCCTCCTCCTCCTCCTCCTCCTCCTCCTCCTACGCGCCTCCTCCTTCCTTCTCCCTCCTCCTCCTCCTCCTCCTCCTCCTCACGCCCCTTCTCCTTCCCCCTCCCTCCTCCTCACGCCCCTCCTTCTTCTTCTCCTTCCTCCTTTCTCATCCCTCGCACTGGTGTGTCTTCTCAATCTTCTTCTTATCATTATTATTATTATGACTTCTCTTCTTCCTTCTTCTTTGTCTTCTTCTTCTTCTTCTTCTTCTTCTTCTTCTTAGTATTCGTACCCTTCTCCTTCCTTCTCCTCCTCACGAAAGTGAGAGATCAGACCCTGAAATTAGAGCTGCACCCAGAGCGGACTGCACTCGGAAGCGAACGTTGTTTCTCGTATGGATTTCCCCCCCGTAGTTGGCACACTCACAAGAACGCAGGTGGTGACAGAGCTCCATGGATCTGAGCGCGCCATCTGCTGCCACGGCGGCTCTGAGCCTATTCGGATCAACGGATGCCAGCGTTGGGACCGGCTAAACTCTGCCAGTCCCTGCTGGTGACTCAAGGTGGTTGCTCCTTTCTGCAGGTCCCTGCTGCTCTCTGTTGCTGTACGCTACTCTCTGCCGGTTTCTGCTACTCTGCTTTGCTCTCTGCTGCTGCCTGCTGCGCTCTGTTGCTCTCTGCTGCTTTCTGCTGCTGCGTGATCCTCTCTGGTGATCTCTGCTGGTCTCTGTTGCTCTCTGCTGCTGTGTGCTGGCTTCTGCTGCTCTCTGCTGCTCCTTGCTGATCTATGCTGCTCTCTTCTGCTCCCTGCCGTTCTCTGATCTTACCTGCTGCTGTCTGCTTCTGTCTGTTGCACTCCGCTGTTCTCTGCTGGTTTCTGCTGCCCTCTGTTGCTCTCTGGTGCTCTCGGCTGCTCTCGGCTGCTCTCTGCTGCTCTCGGCTGCTTGCTGATGTCTGCTGGTCTCCGCTGGCCACAGCCGCTCTCTGATGTTCACTGCTGGTCTCTGCTGCTCTCTGCCAGTCCTTGCTGCTCTCCGCCGTTCTCTGCTGGTTCCTGCTGCTCTCTGGTGCTCTCTGGTGCTCTCGGCTGCTCTCTGCTGCTCTCGGCTGCTTGCTGATGTCTGCTGGTGTCCGCTGGCCACAGCCGCTCTCTGATGCTCACTGCTGCTCTCTGCTGCTCTCTGCTGCTTTCTGCTGCTGCGTGATCCTCTAGTGATCTCGGCTGGTCTCTGCTGGTCTCTGCTGCTCTCTGCTGCTGTGTGCTTGTTTCTGCTGCTCTCTGCTGCTCCTTGCTGATCTTTGCTGCTCTCTTCTGCTCCCTGCCGTTCTCTGATCTTACCTGCTGCTGTCTGCTTCTGCCTGTTGCTCTCCGCTGTTTTCTGCTGGTTTCTGGTGCTCTCTGGTGCTCTCTGGTGCTCTCTGGTGCTCTCTGGTGCTCTCGGCTGCTCTCTGCTGCTCTCGGCTGCTTGCTGATGTCTGCTGGTGTCCGCTGGCCACAGCCGCTCTCTGATGCTCACTGCTGCTCTCTGCTGCTCTCTGCTGCTTTCTGCTGCTGCGTGATCCTCTCTAGTGATATCTGCTGGTCTCTGCTGGTCTCTGCTGCTCTCTGCTGCTGTGTGCTGTTTTCTGCTGCTCTCTGCTGCTCCTTGTTGATCTATGCTGCTCTCTTCTGCTCCCTGCCGTTCTCTGATCTTACCTGCTGCTGTCTGCTTCTGTCTGTTGCACTCCGCCGTTCTCTGCTGGTTTCTGCTGCCCTCTGGTGCTCTCTGGTGCTCTCGGCTGCTCTCGGCTGCTCTCGGCTGCTTGCTGATGTCTGCTGGTGTCCGCTGGCCACAGCCGCTCTCTGATGCTCACTGCTGGTCTCTGCTGCTCTCTGCCAGTCCTTGCTGCTCTCCGCAGGTAGGCGCTGTTCTCTGCTGCTCTCTGCTGCTCTCTGCTGGTCTCTGCTACTCTCGTCTGCTCTCTGCTGCTCTCTGCTGGTGTCTGCTTCTGTCTGCTGCCGTCTGCCGCTGTCTGCTGCTCGCTGCCGGTCGCTGCTGGTTTCTGCTGGTCTCTGCCGCTCTCTGCCGCTCTCTGCTGCGCTCTGCTGCCCTCTGCTGCGGTGTGTTCTTCTCTGTTGGTTTCTGCTGCTCTCGGTTGCTCTCTGTTGTTCTTTGCTCCTTTCTGCTTGTCTGTCTTCCTGTCTGCTGCTCTCGGGTGCCATCTACTGATGTCTGCTGGTCTCTGCTGCTGGTCTCTGATGGTTTCTGCGGGTCTCTGCTGCTTTCTGCAGGTGTCTGCTGCCTAGGCTGCTCTCTGCTAGTCGTTGCTGGCCTCTGCTGGTCTCTGCCGCTCTCTTCTGCTTCCCTCTGCTCTCTGGTAGAGTATTCCGGCGACCCGCTCGGATGGCCAGCATGAAGTGTGAGCCCTGCAGGCAGGGGGGATCAAGATTGAGAAATACTTGCTATTCGCTCACAGACGAGGCCCACGCTTCAGACATTCTCGCGGGTTGCCCCCTTGGGGTGTCCAAGTGCTATGTCTGGTCGAGCATTCAGACGGCCCACTCGGATTACCAACATGATGTGCTAGGGACGGCGACCCCCGCTTGAGACATCCTCACGATTTGCCCCCTTGGGGTGCTCAAGTGCTTTGCCTCTGGTTGAGTAAATCCGATAACTTGCTCGGACGGCTAACATGAAGTGCGGGCCCCATAGGAATCGGGGCTCCCGCCTGAGACTTCCTCGCAATCCACTCGCAGACGAAGCTCCCGCTCGAGACATCCTCACGATGTACCCCCTTGGGGTGCTCAAGTGTTACGCCCTGTCGAATATTCCGCGCAATTCATTCACAGACGAGGCATGCGTTCGAGTGTTCATCAAGATGAGTTTATGAGTGTGTGAGTGGATGAATGTTGGTGGTGGCGATCGTGGTGGTGATGATGATCAATGTGGGAGTGAATTCGAGTGTTGATTATGGTGTTGTGATGATGATGACCGATGGGCATGGTTTGGTGCTGATGACGTGACGCTGATAATTATGATAGTGATGGTGATTATTGGGGGGGACCCGACGTTGGTGTTTAGCAGTGTGATGATGGTGCGGATGTTGGTGCTGGCTAGTGTGAAAAGAGGAGAGGAGAAAAGAAGGAAGGGTAAGTTGTGAGGATCCTGCGCGGGGAGTGTGCAGATAATGACACGACCTCTTTAGGATGCTGGGAGCAGAGGACGAAGCTCAAGAGGAAGATGACAACGATGATGCGGATGCAGGAAGAGGAGGCGGAGGAGGAGGCGGAGGAGGAGGAGGCGGAGGTGAGGAGGAGGTAAGGCAGGGGCAGCAGGCGGGAGGACGCAGGGGCCAGGAGGAGGGAGAGGAGGAGGGAGGAGGAGAGATGGGAGGAGGCTGGAAGGAGGAGAGGCAGGAGGCAGGAGGAGGAGGAGGAGGAGGAGGAGGAGGAGGAGGAGGAGGAGGAGGAGGAGGAGAGAGGAGGAGGAGGAGAAGGGAGGAGGAGGAGGGGAGGAGGAGGAGGAGGACGGGGAGGCAGGAGGAGGACGGGGAGGCAGGAGGAGGAGGTGGGAGGAGCGGCCCCCCCCTTCCGCTCCCCCATCGCGCGGCCTCGGCGCCTCGCAGCACGCGAGCCTGCTCCTGCACGGCATCGTCGCGGGCACCTGCGTATTCTCTACCGGCAAGGCCCCCCCCCTCCTCGGGCGGGGCCGGCGGGCAGCGCGGGCAGCGCGGGGAGGCGGGGGGGACGGGGAAGGGGCGGCGGGTGCAGGGAGCAGAGGAGGGAGGGAGGAGAGTGGAGGGAGGAGGAGGAGGGTGAGGATGAGGTTGGGGAAGGAGGAGGAGGAGGGTGAGGCCTGAGGCTGGGGAGGAGCGAGGAGGAGTAGAAGGAGGAGCAGGAGGCGGAGCAGGAGGAGAAGGATGAGGAGGAGGAGGAGGAGGAGGAGGAGGAGGAGGACCAGTGTAAACCCTAAGGCCCATCAACGATATTCCAATGAGCCCTCCCAACAAGCTTCCTCTGCATAGGCCCCTCAAATGATTCCTTTCAACTCAGGAAAGTATCCCGTCCAAGCGCACTCGCTGGAAAACAATGAACTGTGCCAGAACACCATTCTTGGGACTTCAACTCCGCTAATCACCCTTACCGTTGCATCGTGAAGATTTTGAATCGTTGCAAAACACCGTTCGCTGGTTTGAAGCACCGCGGATCAACATAACCCTGTGCACCTCATAATCACAGGTTGAGGATGAGAACGTTCGGGGTTTCAGAGGGATGTTTTTTTCCCGGCAGGTCGCAGCGAAAAGGAGGAGGCTGAGGAGGAGGAGGAGAAGGAGGAGGAGGATGAGGAGTGAATGGATTTTTTCTGGGTGCAAGGATCTTCGGAGTGCCCCTATGGTATACGGATAACTCGTTCTTGCGGGGCCTCCCCAGAGGGGTGGTAGGAATAGGAATTCAAAGGAATCTTATGGTATAGCGATAACATGCTCGCTCAGGAGGGGCCTCCCTGGAAAGGTGGGGGGAGTAGGAGCCCTGTGATATATCATGGTATAGCGTTAACGTGCTCGATCTGGCGGGGCCTCCCTGGAGGGGTGGGAGAGTAGGAATCCCGAGAAATACGATGGTATAGCGATAACGCCCTCGCTCTGGCGGGGCTTCCCTGGAGGGTTGGGAGGAGTGGGGAACCATGAGAAGTACGATGGTATAGCGATGCCCTGCTCGCTCTGGCGGGGCCTCCCTGGATGGGGGTGGGAGGAGTAGGAACCTCCCTGGATGGGGGTGGGAGGCGTAGGAATCCTGCGGAATACCATGCTCTGGGGTTTCTTTCTGTCGTTCGGCGGCGAGCGCGGGGGGGAAGTGAGAAGGGGCGGGACTTCTCAGAAGTGAGACGGGCCGTCTGAGAAGTCTTCTAAGCCTTCCCCGAGGACACAGACAACACCTCCTCAGAAGGCGCGAGGGCTTCTGCGGGAAGCCCCGGCGCCTTCTGAGAAGGCCTTCTCCTTCTCGTTTCCCCCCCCCTCCCCCCCCTCGCTCGCCGCCGACGAGAGCCCCGAGGCGCCAGCTGACCCGAGCGAGCGGCGGGAGCGGCCCGAGCCGCACGCCTCCGGGCCGCGCGCGCTCGGCGGCGTCCGCCCCCCCGAGGCCGATGCAACGAGCGCCTCGCTTCGCCCCCCTCGCTCGCCGCCAGGTTGCCTCGGTGCCTCGGTGCCCCGGCGCCTCGGGGGCGTGGCTGTCTGCCTCGGCGGCGAGGCTGCTCGCGGCCTGGCGGCGAGCGAGGGGGGCGAAGCGAGGCGCTCGTTGCATCGGCCTCGGAGGGGCGGCCGTCGCCGAGCGCGCGCGGACTGGAGGCGTGCGGCTGGGGCCGCTCCCGCCGCTCGCTCGGGTCAGCTGGCGCCCCGGGGCTCTCGTCGGCGGCGAGCGAGGGGGGGGGAGTGAAACGAGACGGAGAAGGCCTTCTCAGAAGGCGCCGGGGCTTCCCCCAGAAGCCCTCGCGCCTTCTGAGGAGGTGCTGTCTGTGTTCTTCTTGGGAGGGCTCGGAGCACTTCTCTCAGAAGGCCCGGGGACTTCCCGAGGCCTCCGAGAAGGCCTTCTCCTTCTCACGTCCCCCCCCCGCGCGCTCGCCGCCGCTCTCGGCCTCCAGCACCTCGGCGTGGCCCGTCGGAGGCTCCGAGGAGGTCCTCGGCAGCCCGCCCGCAGGCCTCCCACATGCGAGCCTCCTCCTCCTCCTCCTCCTCCTCCTCCTCCTCCTCTCCTCCTCCTCCTCCTCCTCCTCCTCCTCCTCCTCCTCCCCCTCCCCCTCCACCTTCCGCCTGCGTTCGCACGGTTGGCCCCCGAGCCTTGCCACTGGGGCTCTGGAGGATCGTCGCGGTGTCGATTTCGAGCGCCCGGAGCGCGACAAGGCCCCCGTTGGCCAGGGCTCGCCAGACGCCTTGAGGCCTCCTCGGTGACGCGGGCCACCTTGTCGTGCCGGGGGGACTCCTCGCAGGCCCTTGGCGTTTTTAGACGCTCGCGTCTTGGCCTTTGAACTTTTCCGCGAAGTTGTGTTTCGCTCTGGCGGGCCTGCTTGCTGGGAGCTTCGTCTTCGCCACGCCTCGGCTCTGGCCCTCGAGCACCGCCTGGCCGCCAGCCTCGCCTCGCTGGCCCCGCCACTCGCGCTCCAGCTTGCCAGGGAGCTGGCCCGAGAACTGGCTCGCACACCTGCTCCTGCGCTTGGACTTTCGCGTGATCTTGGCTCGGCCCTGGAGATTGCGAGGGAACTGGGCGTCCTTGATCCGCTCCTCGGGCGGCCTCAGCATATGTCCTTTGCGCGGCGGTCGGCTCGAGCTCCGGGTCTCCGAGCTCCAGGGCGCAGGGGTTCTCGTCGCCGCAGCCGCTGCCCAGGGCGCTCCAGTCTGGCACGGGCGGCGCGTTCTCGGGCCAGCACAGGATGCCCTCGAGCCGCCCAGCTTCGGCTCGCTGCCGCGGCCAGGCTCCACCGAGTAGGTCTTGGGCTCGAGGCCCGCGACGACCTTCAGGTCGCCCTGCTCGGTCGGCCGTGCCGCCCGCATGTGGTTCGCTTGCAGCCCCTGGATGACCACCGCCTCTTTTTCCAGGCGAAGAGAACTGTGCACATGCACCGATCCTGACAACGTCCATTCCTGACCCAGGATCGGTGCATACACCTTCCTGGCCAAGGTAAGAGGGCGTACGCACCGATCCTGGGCTCAGGATGGGCGTGGCCAGAATCGGTGTCTGTGCACAGGTCTCTTTCCCTTATGTTTGCCTGTCGCAGTACGGCACTTGCAGGGCCCCCCCCCCAGCTGCTCGGGTGGTGGACGCACCCCTTCTCGGGCCTGGCCCTGACCTGCTGCAGCCGGTCCTGCTCGGCCGCCCAGTGGATCTCTGTTTCGACCTCGCGGCTGGCGGCCTTCGCCTGGCTGTGCTCGTGGGACCAGGCTCTTTCAGGAGGGGAAAAAACACAGACACAATTCATCGTCGATCCCCCAGAAAATATGCGAAAATATGGGAAGTGGGGGAGAAGACAAAAACCCAGAAAATATGGAAAAGTATGGGGAATCTGGTTATTTGTGTATATTTATTTGTGTGTCCCAGTTCCCCTTCACTCCTGCAGAAAAAGCTCGCGGCGCCTGGAGCCACGGGCGGCGCGCGCGACACTCCGGAGCCAGGCTGCTCGGAGCGTGGCGTCCTCGGTCCACTGGCTTCGCTCGGACGTGTGCACTTTTCCCTCGGCGAGGACCATCGAGGAGCATCCTTGATCATTTGGCGAAACACCACGCACGACACCGAAAAAAAACACGGGGAATGGACGTCCGAGCCATGGCGAGCGGTCCATTGGCTCGATGGGCAGTCGTGGGGCTCTGGCCGTGCTGCTCCCTGAGGAAGTCGCCGATCCAGGTCGCGAGGAGCCCGTCCGTCCAGGCTGTCGGTTGGCCCCGCACGTCGGTGGCCTCGGCGATCGTGGTGCGGTCCTCGCCGGCTACATCGGGCAGGGCCTTGCGCCTGCCCCACAGGAGCCCGTCCACGCGTTCGCCTGCTCGGAGCTGCTGCGTCTCGACGTCGCTCCGCTCGTGGGTGGCGCGCTTCAGCCAGGTGCCCTCCTCGAGGTTCACGTCGCCGATCCTGCGGTGCGTCGCGCACGGGACCAGAGCACGCGGCACTTCTTGGCAGCAGTCGGCGCCTTGCTCGGGTCGAGTCAGCCCTCGAGGTCGGAGACTTAGGGGCCAATATGTATCAGGAGGGGAAAAACATACAGACACAATTAATCGTCGATTCCCAGGAGATCTGGGAAAATATAGGAAGTGGGGGGGAAAACAGAAACCCCGAAACTATGGGAAAATATGGGGAATAGTTTTGTTTGTGTGTATTTCTTTGTGTGTCCTTGGGCCCCTTCAATGTACCTGTCCCCCTGTGCTCGAGCAGGCGTGGCCCACTTGCTCTCTTTCGGGTCGGGGTGGCCGGCGTGCCACCCGTGCCGCGCGGCTTCGTGGGGCTCCGTGGTCCTCCTCCGCCGTGGTCTCGCGGCACGCGTGGCGGAGCCTCGGCGCGTGGGCCTTTGGGGGAAGGGAGGGGAGGGGGGGGGATCGGGGACCTTCTGACCCGGGTCAATCCAGACCCGGGTCAGCAGGAAACCAAAAACTGCAATGCAGGAGCAAAAATTCTGCAACGCAGGTCTTCGCAAACCCGGGTCAGTCAATACGCGCGGCCGCCTCGCGGCCACGAGCGGCTCCCTAACCCGGGTCAGCCAGAAGGGGGTCTTTGCAGGATCCTGCAGGATCCGGCGCCCTGGCTGACCCCCGTCTGCTCTGACCCCCGTCTCGAGGCTCCCGAGGGGTGAGGGAGGCAGGAGGGAAGGGGGAGGGGCGAGCTAGGTGCACTGCAGTGGGGGCACGCATCAAGAGACCATCTGCTATTCGCCAGGGTATGCTGGGTTTCTTCGCTCCTCGCGCTGCGCGGGGGCTTCCCGCAGCCGTTGAAGGAGCTGCTGCGTTCGGGGTACTCCAGGTTTCCCCTCAGGTGCACCTCGCGCACGGGTTTTCAGGGTTGGGTTTCTTGCGAGGGTTTCTTGCGGCCGCGTCCGCACGATAGCGTCACATCTGACGTCCTACCCTCCCTCCCATCCCTTTGCCATGGCGTAGATCTCCGATATTCGCACAGTCGGATGTCGAGCAGGGCAATGATCCCAAGAGGGTACGCGATGGATCGGGAAACGCGGTGTAGAAGAACACGGCAGAGCAGAGCGTGTCATAGCATGGCGTGGCATTGCGTAGTGAAGCATTGCATCACAGAGCAGGACAACACAAAGCATGACATCGCACAGCGATGCACAACACAGCATCGCATTGCATGCCGTGGCATGGCACTGGATGGTGAGTGGCCCGTCCACGAGAGGACTGAGCCTGTTTGGAATGCCAGCTCCAGATCCTCCGAACCTTTTTGGCCCGATGTGGACGGTTTCGTATGCCACGTGCCGTCCGGAGGCGTTGCAAACGGGGCCAGCGTTGCACGGGGAACACGGTTTTATGTGACCGAAGCGCGGAAATGAGGACGGCGGTGCAGCGGGAATACTGTTTTGGAAGAACCAGAAACGACCGGATCGAACATTCAGATCGGAAAAATCGAATAATGAAACCCAGTGTGTGAAAAAGAGACGCGGAGAGGACGGGAGATTTTTCGGACAGAGGCAGGGAAGAGAGGAGAGTAGCATTCATATTGTGTAATTGTGGGGGCGGGCCTTGGCGCTTGTGGCCTGGAGCCCGCTCCAGTGGAGTTACTCCTTCTCCTCGCCCTGGGGCTTGGGAACCACAGCGCGGTGGCGTCGACGACGACCAGGCTCGTGCCGTCTCGCCGCTCGGCGAAGGCCTCGGGGTCCCCGACGAGAGGGCTGAGCACTTCGGGGCGCCCCTCGCCGCGGTGTGCTGGAGCCTGTCGGCGGTGGCGTAGCCCGGGTGTGCTTGGCCTCGCTCGCGCTGAGAGTCTCGTGCTTCTGCTCGGGGAGGCGCTGGCCCCTCGTGCCCGGACGCGTGCAGCCCTGGCAGCACGAACTCGTTGACTCGTTGGCGCGTCCTTGCGGAGCTGCTGATTGATCTTGAAGGTCGCCAGACGCTTCCTCTGGAGGATTTCGGCGTCGTGGCGCTCGTGGTCCGTATCCTTCAGGGCGAGCTGCCTATCCGCGTCGAGCTTCAGCTGGAAGCGCAGCTGCGTGAGGATCGTCCTCTTGCCGCACCTCGTGGCCGTGGTCTCGCTCCCGCGCGAACCAGCGCTCGAGTCGGCGCATGACGTCCTCGAGCCGACATCCACGTCTGGGACTTCCCTCCTCCCCTCCTCCGTCGCAGATTTTCTATCGTCTCGCTGTCCATATGCATGATCGCGTGTAGTCCATACGTGCAGGTTTGAAGAGGCTACGGCCTCCTCCACCAGGTCTCGAGCAGGCCCGGACAGCTGTCCGCAGTGGTGGTTCGTTCGTTCGTTCGTTGGCCGTTGTGGCCACACAGGGGACGCCGCGGGAGAGCCTTGCGCCCTCGGACCCGTGCTTGGTCGCGCCCGGGCGGACGGCGCCGCAGGCTCCGGAGGCCGCTCTTGCCGAGCCTCGCCCCTGGCGACCTCTTCGAGAGACGCCCGCTTCTCGAGCCGGCTCGCCGTTGCTCCGCGACTCCAGCGGCGCTGGGCGTGCAGCTTGTCCTCTGCCGTCCTCGGGGAGGCGGGGGAAGTGCTGGACGCCGTGCTCGTCGGCCTGCTTGCTGTGGTCGAGGACGACCCGGCGCCCGCGCTGCGCGGGCAGGTCTCGGCGCAGCGTCGGAGCAGGCTCGGGGCCTGTGCGTCCTCCCTGTGCAGTCAGCCCGCCCGGCAAGGGTGGGCAGCAGCCTTGCCGCGGGCACGCTTGCATCCTTGCCTCCCCCGGCACACGCTTCGCCAACAAGCCGCGGGCCGCGCCCCGCTCGAGCAACTTTGAGGTGGGCGGCCAAGGCCTTGGCATCCTCACCCATCGGTCGTTGACAGCAGGCATGTTTGGACCCCCAGGTTCCGATCTGCTGTCAGCGCTCTCCCACGTCGGTGCTCGGGTGGCCTCGCCCTCTCCGCCCTCGGCCGGGGTGGCCGGCGGATCCCGACCTGCTTCCGACGCCTTCCCCGCTTTCTGCTTCCGTTCCTGCCTGCCTTTGTCCCCCGACCGACGGGCATCGTGCGTCCTCTCGGAGCGCGAGTTACCTCCCCCGCTTTCGCTTCCAGGCAAAACCAAGTCATACCACGCGCCTCCTCGTCAAGCGGCCTGACCAGTACAGGCTGCAATTTGGCATCGTTTGGTATCTCTTGGAAGCGAGGGTGGTCAAAAGCGAGGTAGGTTTGTTCTCCCCCTATCCTCGCGACGCGGGCTGACTCTGCGCCCCGCCTTCGAGCCCTCGGCCTCGCCGCCCCTCCGGACGCCTCGGCTCGACGCCTTTGGCCGCGGTGGGGCCTCGGGGCCCGGCGCCCGGCCCGCCGCGCCCCCCCCGCCTCTCGGCGCGCGCCGTGCGGCAGCCGCCCGGCGCTCCTGGGGCGAGAGGGGGGGAGGGGGCGGGGGGGGGGGGGGGGGAGGGGAGGGGAGGGAGGAGAGGGAGGGGAGGGGAGAGGGCCCTTCTCCCCTCGCCCTCCCTCGCCTCCATCCCCCCCCCCACCCCTCCCCCTCCCTCCCTTCCTCCCCCTCTCCTCCATCCCCTCGCCCCCCTCCTCATCTCCCCTCGCCTCCCTCCCCCTCCCTCTCGGAGGGAGGGGGAGGGGGAGAGAGAGAGGTCTTCGTGGTTTTGCTGAGTGCTCTCTGGCATCCTGGGGACGGTGCCCTCGCATGTTCCGTGTGCGTTGGCCGGTGCAGTGTCTCACGTTTATTGAATGATGCTAGGAGGAGGAGGAAGGGAGGAGGAGGAGGAGGAGGAGGAGGAGGAGGAGGAGGAGGAGGAGGAAGGAGGAGGAGGAGGAGGGGGAGGAGGAGGGGGAGGAGGAGGAGGAGAAGGAGGAGGAGGAGCTTCTGTCTTAGGCCCGGCTGCGGACGGGGTCGGAGGCCCGCGCGCCGCATCGCCGATTTCGTCGCCGACGCGGCGCGACGCTTCTTCCGATTTCTCTCCGTGCCAGCGCGTGGCCGATGCACCGCCGACTTGCCCGAGGCGTCGCAGATGCCTCGTGCCTCCGGCAGGGTTTCGGTCCGGCCCCACCTGCGGGTTGGCCTGTGCTCGTTGGTTGCCCAATTGTGGCCGCCCCTCTTCCTGATTTGTTTGCAGGTGCACTTCGCGCGTTCTCGCGCCAATTATCTGTCGCTGTGCCCCAGCCTCGGTCACACCGCCCTCTGGACGTCTCCTTGCGGGCCGATAACAAAAAAAACAGATGCATCGTAGATGCGGCGCGAGCCCCCGACCACCTCTTACCCGGACCCCGTTCAGGAGGTCTCCGTGCCTGGATGGGGGGAGCAGGAGGAGGAGGAGCAGGAGGTGCAGGCTGGAGGTGGAAGGGGGAGGAGGCGGAGGATGGCCCGCCGTGAGCTCTGACTCGCGTTCGCGCAGGCTGTCAAGTCCATTGCCCTCGTCCAGGAGCGCGACCACCACGGCGCCGACGCCGCCTCCGCCGCCACCTCGGCCCCCCAGGCGCGCTCCGGTCACCTCCACTGCGCCGGCCGGCTCTCGGTCACAGAGTCGACCACGTCGGGGGGACGGGCCAGATTTAAGTCGGGCCCGTCCCTCTAGAGGGGGTATATCCAAAAATAGTAAAAAAAGAGTCGGGGGATTATTCTGTTAGTATTTTGTTGCCATGTTCGAGCATTTTTTAATGTTTTTTCCCGTCGCAAATATCCCTGTAGGGGGACGCCCGACCTAAGGCCAGATGTTCCGAGGGGGGGGGCGGGGGGCAAAGGGAGTACGCCTTCCAGACCTCGCAAACGGGGACATGCGAGTATGTCTGGCACCCTGGACTCAATTGGTGACCCCCCCTCCGGGGGTTCGAATGCAATGATTTCGCCGCTGTAGAGCTGGATTTTCGCCGTCACGCATATCTGACAGCCAACGATGATGCTGATACTGGTGATGGTGATTGTGATGGGCAATGCGATGGTGATGGTGGTGGTGATGGTAATGATGATGGCGATGGCGATGGCGATGGCGATGATGTTGATGATGCTGATGTTGATCATGATGATACTGATGGTGATGGTGATGTCGATGACGATGACGATGACGATACTGATGATGATGATGATGATGATGATGATGATGATGATGATGATGATGATGATGATGCTGATGCTGATGATGAGATGATGGTGATGCTGATAATGCTGCTGCTGATTCTGATGATGACGATGCTGACGGTGCTGCTGATTATGATGCTGATGATGATGTTGAGGATGATGATCATGGTGGTTGTGGTATTGGTGATGATGATGATGATGATGGTGGTGGTGGTGATGATGATGATTCGGATGATGATGAGGAGGAGGAGGAGGACTCATCAATTAAGCAACAGTGATCGTATACATCATGTTTTTTTGACCAGCTTGTCTGTACGGTTTCCGTACATATTCTCGAAACAAACCAGTAGGTGCGTTGCCGTGGCCTGAGTCAGTCGGGCGACGTTATCTCCCATTGTCTTCGATTGCCTTGCGTTGTCTCTCATTGTCTCCCATTGTCTTCAATTCTCTCCCGTTGTCAGCCATCGTCGATCCCGTTCCCTATCTCTATCCTCATCGCTATCTCCATTGTCTCTCGTTGTCTCCCATTGTCCCCAACTGTCCTGCGTTGTTTCCCATTTGTTCTCCGGATCCAAATTCCAATCCGTATCCCTATTATGTATACGTATGCCTATCCGCATCCCTATCCGTACCCTTATCCCGCCGCCGCTACACAGTGCTATTACTGTTCCTTTTAACCATATCCCTAGACTATTTCTATGCCGATCCTCATCCCAATCCCGATCCCTATCCTCATACACCCTTAGCCCTATATCCCTAGCCCTTGTCCATATCCCTGCGCTATCCGTATAACTATTCCTATCCCGTTTCCCTCATCGTGCTCTCCCGTCCTGTCTCCCCCAACGTCATCCCTTATCGAAGCTGTGTTTAGCTGCTCAGGGTTTCTGCCGCAAGGGTGTCCTGACGCACGTTCTCTTGAATGCTGAGTTTCGGTTGGACTCTCCTGTGCCTCCTCTGCGAGAGGGCGAAGGGCAGATGGTGGACATCCATCATGGGGCGAAGGGGCGATGGAAGCGAATAACCATGGAGGTCCGTTGGTTTCCAGGGGGCGTCCGGGCTGTCGCGGGGGGGCGTCGTCCTGGCCGCCTTGATTTCTTGCAGCACGGTCTCGCCAGCGCCCAGGAATATAGATATTGAGCAATGATCGTGCCGCATCGTCGATGCATCGGCCATACAGCGCGACCTGCAGTCTGATTTTTTCCGTCCCTCACCTGATCGCAAACATGTATCAAGGGGGCGTGGGAACTCGCGGGATCCGCCGCCGAACGAGGCAACACGTGCCGCATTTTGGGGAGGCCACTTGCCCCGGTCCATGGATTTGGCGACCGCGCGCCAAATCCATGGATCGCTAGTCCATGTTTGCGCACCCCCGAGTCCCGACGTCGCTGGTGCATCGGCGGTGCATCGGCGATGCGGCGCGATCTCCGACCCCGTCTACCCTGGCCCCATTCGGGAGGCCTCCAACTATTCGCCACGACTGGATTCGGTCTGGGAGAGGCCCGGGGACCTGCGATTCCAATATTCCTGCGATCCGCTGCGTCCTGATGCTCGCATGCTGTAGCTGCGCATCCTTGCGCGGCCGATCCGATTCGATTCCGACTCCTTGCCGATGCGGCCCAGTTTGATGCGTGTTCGGATCCGATGTTGTCTGTCGATTTGAAGGCCTGCGAGCCACAGCCCCTGACCCATGTCGAAAAGGAACAAACAAAGAACCCAGTTGTCCGCGCCTGGCAGCCTTCGCGGGCGGGAGCGGTCAAGGCGACGACGCTGCGCAGCCGAGAGGAAGAGGCATAGGAGCAGGAGGAGGGCTAGGAGGAGGAGGAGGAGGAGGAGGAGGAGGAGGAGGGGAACGGATTGGGGAAAATTCGTAGCTCTCAGGCTCTGCAACTGAGCGGTGGCTACAGTGAGGAGGGGGGCAGGGAGGATTGGAAGAAGGACGGGGAGGACCAGTAGTAGTAGTAGTAGTAGTAGTAGTAGTAGTAGTAGTAGTAGTAGTAGTAGTAGTAGTAGTAGTAGTAGTACTAGTAG